TTTCTTGCCACAATTGTTAATTACTGCAGTTGTTAAGTTATAACATGATTGTTTAGTGGATCTGGCTTCCCCATTGACTTTGCTTATCAGAAGGTCGCAAATGGGGATCTATGACCCCGGGACGCTGCAACCGTCATAAATATGAGTTAGTTGCCAAATGTTTGAATTCTGATCACGTGACCATGGAGATGCTGCAATGGTCGTAAGTGTGAAAAACAGTCATAGCTCACTTTTTTCAGTGCCATTGTAACTTTGAATGGTCACTAAATATAAGTCAAGGACTACCACTATCCCTGAAAATATTGGCCATTTTCTTTCACATTTTAACAGCTACTTTCAGTTTGGGCCTAATGTCATACAGAAAATTTCACTGAAATCTGAATTTGATCCATCTGCTTCCTTCCTCTCCCTTCCAGCTAATCTTTAAGACCCTGTCTCATCTCATTTGGATGAATATAAAAATTTCTTGCAAATCAATTAAACATCTAATTTGACCAAATATTTCAAGCTGTATAATGATGCATTGTATTATGATTTTTTTTCCTGTTATGTGAGGTTTCTTGTTTTAACTTTTTTATTTAAGTTCTAGAGCCGGGAGTGGGGGAGAGATAACATACCTTGGGTCAGCAGATGGATTATCTTTTTATTCTGAGTAACACATATTTTTTTAAAGAAATCTGATTAGTTTGGAATATCACTTACAAAACTCTGACAGAAATCTGCCCTTTAGACAGAAAGAGAGAACAGAATGTAGGCGATAGAAATAAATCATCATCTGTGAAAATATTCAGGAAGAACACTGTGTTTTTTTTGCAAAATATCAAAATGAATGTGAGAAAAAGTCTTTCTGCATAATAGTCTTTGTTTCACTTCAATTTGAGCTTTGTGAAATCGTAGTTTTCATAGTTTTCAAATTTTATAATTCAGGTAGAATTTAACACGCACATTGTATTATTTCTATAATTAACAGGCTCTTGATGGCCATCACTAGTTGACAAATGGCCAGAATTGCCAGAAATTATTTATTAAATGGTATACATATTTAATAAATAAACAACAAATAAATTTACCACCACCTATGATCCTCTTTTGCTAGATTATAGCCCCATTTTCCTTCACTAATGGCCATAGGAACAGTGAGTAGTTAGAACATAGATTCCAGACTTCAGATTTACATCAATTATTATGCATTAGATATTTATTTTCTTTCATGAAAATAATATGCTACACAGCCCACCTGGCATCTTCTGGGCTTTAGTCCATGGAAATTAGATTAAGTTTCCAGAACACTCAGGCATATCCAGATAACTTCTGGTTTGCATGCGTAAAGATAGTCCTCGATTTACCACTACAATTGAAACTAGAATTTCCATTGCAAAGCAAGGTGGTTGTTAATTGAGTGATGCCCGACTTTACACCTTTGTTTGCCATGCTTGTTAAGCAAGTCACTGCAGTTGTTAAGTGGATCATGCAGTTGTTAAGTGAGTCCAGCTTCTTCCATTGACTTTGCTAGTTGGAAACCAGCTGGGAAAGGTTGCCAATGGCAATCACATGACCCCAGGACGCTGCAATTGTTGTAAATATATGTTGGTTGCCAAACACCCAAATTTTGATTCATCACTGTAGGGATGCTGCAACAACTGTAAGTGTAAGCACTGGTTATAAATCACTTTGTAGTGCTGTTGTAATTTGGTCAATAAACAAATTGTTGTAAGACAAGGACTCCTTTTCTCAGGGGATATAGGGACACAATGATTCTCTACTAGGTTTGAAGTACTTTTTCATTTTGTACATCAGGCAAGCTCCTTTGATTTTCTTTTTTATTTCTTTTTTATTTCCCTTTCCACTTAATCCAACAATAGCTGCTTTCATTTTTGCCTTTGCTTCTGTAATCCTATCCTTTGATTGTCTTCTTTCTTCCCCTCATCAAAGAAATGAAATAATTCTCCTCTTTGTGGCTTTTGTGTTTTAATATATTAGAACCCTAGGATAACAAAAGCTGAGTCCCTGTTACGTCTTATAATTATCACTTATAGTTAGAATAGAATAGAAACTTCATTGATTTTGACCATATCAAAGCATGAAACTAATATAAATATACAGATAGATGCAAAAAACAACAATAGGACTTGTTCATAGTAAATCACTATCCTGTGGTTAATCCAAGCTGATCTAACTATTTTGTCCTCTTCAAAATGGCCTTTGAAATAAAGTGCAGTTTTGCTAGTGATATATATGGTTCGTTCCCTGCAAAAAGTAACACAACTTCTCCCAAGCGTCCCAGTATTTTTTAGTTTTTAAATAAGAATCTAAGCAAGCAGCATTTCCTGCAGAGTACAGTTTGCAGTCCAAAAGAATATATCCAATATCTTCTGTGACTGGTGCCTCACGTGGTCTTTCTTCAGATGAATTCCATGAAACGTCCATGTCTTATCATGAGGTATAGTTGTTTGAAAGGAGCTCTAGAAAAAAATCCAGGTTTTCTCCATGACTCCTTGTTTTCTTGACTGTCCATGGTATTCTTAGGAGTCTTCCCCAACAGCAAAGTTCAGAGGTCAATATTCTTCCATTCCTGCATCTTCAGCCTTTGCTTCCACAGAGTGCTATAAGGAAGAACATGGCTTGCACAATTCTGTTCTTGGTAGAATTGACACATCATGGCATTTGAATATCTTTTCCGTGGCCTTCATGGCTGTTTTACCAAATTCTTATCTGTGGTGTATTTCTTGACTGCTTTTTCCTTTATTCTTGATGGTTGATCCTAAATGGCAGAAATTGTTCAGTATCTTCATTGTCAATTTTAAGGCTGGCTGTTTTATTTATTGCTATTAGTTTACTCTTCTTTATATTTAATTTTAGCTCCATTTTTTTTCACTATGTGAAAACAAAGATGATTAGAGGTCTGGAGGCTAAAACATATAAGGAACAGTTGCTGGAATTGGGTATGTCTAGTTTAACGAAGAGAAGGACCAGGGGGGACCTGATTGCAGTGTTCCAATATCTCAGGGGCTGCCACAAAGAAGAGGGTGTCAAGCTATTCTCCAAAGCGCCGGAAGGCAGGACAAGAAGCAATGGATGGAAACTAATCAAAGAGAGAAGCAACTTAGAACTAAGGAGAAATTTTCTGACAGTTAGAACAATTAACCAGTGGAACAACCTGCCTCCAGAAGCGGTGAGTGCTCCAACACTGGAAGTTTTTAAGAAGAGACTGGACAGCCATTTGTCTGAAATGGTATAGGGTTTCCTGCCTGAACAGGGGGTTGGACTAGATGACCTCTAAGGTCCCTTCCAACTTTATTATTATTATTTGACTTTTAATACTAGGGCTTGTAGATTATTTGCATTTTCAGCTATCAGGATAATGTACTCAGCATAGTACAAGTTATTGATATTTCTTTCTCCAAGTTTCAAACCGCGCACATCTTCTTCCAATCCAACCTCCTTTAAACTCAGCATACAGGCGGTCCCTGACTTACAACAGTTCATTTAGTGGCTATTCAAAGTTACAACGGCATTGAAAAAAGTGACTTATGACCATTTTTCTCACTTACAACCGCTGCATCATCCCCATGGTCACGTGATCAAAATTCATATGTTTGGCAACTAGTGTGTATTTATGATCATTGCAGTGTCCTGGGGTCATGTGATCCCTTTTGTGAGCTTCTGACAAGCAAAGTCAATGGGGAAATCCAGATTCACTTAACTGTGTTATTAACTTAACAAATGAAATGATTCACTTAACAACTATGGCAAGAAAAAGTTGTAAAATGGGGCAAAACTCACCTAACAAATGTTTCACTTAGCAACATAAATTTTGGGCTCAATTGTGGTCATAACTCGAGGACTACTTGTATAAGGGAGAATATGCAGTCTTGTCAAACTCCTTTGTCAACCTGGAGCTAGTCTATTTCTTGTCCATATATATTATGTCTACACTGGGGCTTCCTGATCTGTGATTGACAGGGTAGCCAAGGTGGTTATGTAGATGCGAATCACCCATGAGACAGACTTCAAGTGCTTGATCAATTGAGAATGTATTTGTTATGAGATTTTGAGATCTTTTGCTCTATGAGAATTTAGCAGTGTCTTGCTCAATTGTGCTGACAAAAATTCTTTGCTCCAAAACAGCTCATTTGAGATCTGTTGAGGAGTACTATAGGAAGTTAAAATGCTCTCATATTATTTGTCTTTATTTTTTTCATTTTGATGCCAAAATTCTATTACGGTACTTATTTTGTGCAGTCCTACACAGAATCCAAAGGGGCTTTGCTGATTGTTTACAACTGATTATGTAAAGTTATTAATGGATAAAGAACTTATTTTACTTGTTGTAACATGTCATCTGTATTTGCATAACTATCTTGTCTTCCCTTCCCCCAGCCAGCCTCAATTTAAATCCTACATTAGTCACTGTATGCATCTTATGAAGTGAGCTGTAGCTCAGAAGAGCTTATGCCTTTTAATAAAATGTGTTAGGCTGAAAACATGCTACCAAACTGTTTCTGATTTTTGGCAACGGTAGATTAATATAGCTCTCTTCCTACATTTATCTACATGTATTTGCAGGCATCTATCTGGCAAAATGTTTCTCTCAATAGGTTGCTTTGGAAGCAAGTGCAAGACAGGATCAGCTTTTTAAAAAGAATTAAACCTACTATTCATATGACACTAGATCAGTGTTGCAGACCAGCACTCTAGCAAAAGCCTTATGGAATGTGTTATCCCAGCAAAACATGAGAGTGTTTGCAGGACAATAAACTCTGAAAGTAGTATGGCACCAAAATTACATAGGAGGAATTGATAGGCAGTCTCTCTGCTGGGAAGCAAAACACCCACAAGCACAGGTTAAACATACTGATTAAACATACTAATTTGGAGACAGCATCATTTCATCATTTGAGTTGTGTGCAACTGACAAAGAGTCAGTTTAATTTGTAAGTATTCAGTCACGTGTATCTAATTACTTTTTTCTTTTTCTTCCTTATTTCTCTCTCCATTAGGTTTATAGCTAAGCCGTGTGCCTTAGGCTTAAAAGTCCAAGCCAATGGACCACAGAAGGCTCAGCCTAATGCTATTCTTGAAAAAGTCTTCACAGCAATCACAAAGGTACAATATGTTCCTAAAATCCTTTTATTTACTTTGCTATTACTTAAGAATGGATCTGAGAGATTGGATAGATTTAATACTAAATTTCTGAGCAAAACAAGGTCAAGTATGTTAAAACACAAGTATATTTGTGAGATAAGTGGATGCATGGAAACAGTTGATCCTGGGGACTGAAAGTCAGGGTAATAGTCATTTTATGAACAATTGTCATGGAGTTAAACAGGTTTATGTTTAAAAACCCACCATAAAATATTCATAACATTCAGTTCTACCAATAGCATTCAGGCAGTGGCAGCGCGCTCCAGGGGTGAAAAGGAGCAAGGCCCCTTTAAGGAAAAGTTGGAAGAGACAGGATCAGAAAAAGAAGAGAGGCAAGGTTGTAGTGCAGGAATACAAGCTAATATGAGGGCTAATCCACATGGAGCTCTGTTTCCATCTGTCCTATTTGCCATCCTTCACTCCCTAGAGATTAAAATGGATGATCTGAAACTTGAACTGGTCATGAACAAGTGTATATCAGAGGTGGTGGTCCTTTGAGAGCTTTATGCAACGAAATTTCATTTTGATGTATGCCGATTGGTATATGATCAAAGTGACAATAAAGTTTATTATTATTGTTGTTGTTGTTGTTACCACTGGGCCAGCTCTACCACATATTTATTGGCAATTTCAAACTTTCATGACATATTTTTTATAGCGATAAATCACTTATCACTTTTTTTTAGTTATAAATAATACCTGGTGTCAGAAGAACTGTTCACCTATGAACCACACAATTTATAAAGCAAGAAATGGAAAAGAATGCATATGTGGACCCAGCTCATAATTGTTTTTCTTGCTGATGCTTGCTAGTCTCTTTCATGCCCTGCCCTGCCTACCAGTACATATTTGCCCTAAGATGACTTACTGTCAGCCCTTCAAGGTAGTCCAGACAAGAAACCAAAAACCCTGAGTACTAAACTACCTTTATTCCAAGGTTACAATAACAGAATCTTATAAGTCTGAAAGCATTTTGCCCCTTCCTTTACTTTCCAAAGGATTAGGAAGGGTTCCATCTTTATCCCATTCTTCCTTTGGACTCTGATTCCTCTTCCCCAATGATTTTGCTTGTCAGAATCCAGCTGTGAAGATTGCAAATGGCAATCACATAAGTGCTGGAATGCTGCAATGTCCAAAATTTTGAAGACCAGTTGTAAATCTCCTTTTTCAGTTACCATGGTAGCTTTAGATGGTCACTGAAAGAGAGATCAATAAGCGAGGTCTACCTTTATTATTAATGTGTTTTTATTCTCTGGAAAAGGAATTTGTAGAATTGTAAATCTTCCATGAAAAAATAAATTTGTATTTTGTGATCATTTTGTGAGATGGGTTCCCTGAAGCAGTAAAGGGTAAAAACAAAACAAAACTAAAAGTACAGTACATGAGTGAGGCAAAAATAAAGTAGTGTGAGTAGCCATTCCCATCCTGGACCTATCCAGATAATTCAATTTACCAGTCCCAGAATTTCAAGCCAGTAGGCTTAGTGGAAAATGAGTGAGTTTAAAAACAATGTAACAGAAAACAGAAGGCAAAAAAAGATTGAGCTGTATTTCATTATAAGTGGAGCAAATAAGACATCAAAATCAGCATATAGTTGAAAGTGTGATTTAATAGAGTACAGTATTCACTATTCCCAATTATTTTATTAAAATTTAAAGACCACCCAACTCCAAACAACTTTGCACCTTATATTTTAAATTAAAGTATGGTAAAAACAGAAAAAATGTCCATGAAATCAAATTGTGCATTATGGTGGTAATTTATGTCATTGGCATGATGATATTTTATGTAAAATGCAGAAATCTGGAGGCATTAAGAATTTTTAATTACTTTTGTCCAGGTCATATACAGTAGTTTGATAACAACATGAACTACAGACCAATAACAACTGAAGATGATTCTGACAATTATTTAACTTGCATAAACTGTTTTATATTCTGGATAACAAGCTGGCATTTCAAAGGGCATTTTCTTTTTCATATGGAGATCTGAAACTTATGCTTAGTTTTAGTAAAGAGTATTAACTGGAATTTAGTTGAAGTTTCATCAAAAGAGTAACTTTTTGACTCTTTTCTTTTTAAATTTTGAAAGCATCCAGATGAGAAGAGGCTGGAAGGGCTATCCAAACAGCTAGACTGGGATGTGCGCAATATTCAGCGTTGGTTTCGACAGAGACGCAACCAGGAAAAACCAAGCATTCTTAGGAAGTTCTGTGAAAGCCTGTAAGGAATACTTTTCATCCACTTTGTTTCTATTTTTCCTCACTCAAGTCTTGATGGAAGAGAAGTCTCGTGGATTTTGGGGGAAATCACCGCAATACTGTATGTTGTTTGCTAAAACATAAACTCTTTTCCCTCTTTTCAAATTGACTTTCGTTCAATTTTATTGGCACACAGTTTCTTTGGAAATACAGAAGTAAATTACAGCTCTCTAAAGAAATTGGAATCCAATAGAATAAGGATTTTTTCCCCCACATTTAAACACGAAATCAACTATTCTTGAGAAATTGCTCTAAAACTAAAAAGTTGTCTTCAGTCTTTCTTAGCAAACCTTCTGTGATCGAGTAGTGTGGCTGCTATGATTTTAGAGTCCGTAGAGTCAATGCAGCCAAATTTTCTGGTGTTTTTTTTTTTTTAAATTCACTTCATTGTTTTAGATTTAGAGGCTTTAAGGGGCAGAAAATCAAGACCCTGTCAAAACCTAAACTTCTCTTCAGAGTCAGACTGCTCTCAGTCTCTACTGCCAGGAAGATGTTAACTCACTTCCTCTAGTAACAAGGCAGGACTTAATATTTATTCCTTTCTTGTTGAGGAAAAGCTCTCCATTCTATCTTATGCTCTGCATCTGTAGAAAGTGGCCACTTCCTACTGGATTCATGTATTTAGAGAGGAAGGATGATGACTCTGACAGATATGCAGGCACCATTGCCTTGGCAAAAGAAGCATTTTTTAAAAAAATTCAGAATGAGATACTGTTGGATGCAGCTCAGGCAGATGCCCCCCTGATTCACTGACCTATAAAAAGAAGTACAGTGCAATCAGACTTGGAAGAATCTCTTACAGACTCTCTCAATAAAAAAATGTGTTTAGCCTTCATTCCTGGACTGAGTTTCATTTGGTTTGCCAGATCTGTTAGCTAAAGACTATTTGATAGATCCCAGCTAAGGTGTATTTCAACATATTCAATCAAAAGTATCTTGAGGCAGAGATTTTAGAGAGGAGGGTAATTTAATAAAACTAGTACATGCCATTGATACTTTTCTTACTGTATGAAAAGGCTTTTATATTTTTATCCTGCTTTTGGGAAGAGAGCTTCATCCTTGCCTACCTTATTTCAGTAGCATCAGGCATAGCTTGTTGATCTGGTTTAGTTTCAAAACATGAGTTGAATTTTCAGTCAGATTTGAGTCAGTGCACTCAAGGAAAAAAATCTGGGCAGAAGATGTATTTAAAATTTATTTTGAACTGTAAACTAACAAATACGTGTCTATTGGTGTTTTCAAATATTCAAAGTACTACACAATCTTAAGTATCCTAGTCCACATATAACAGCCTTCTAAGGTATAAATTGTACATTATAATGCTATAATACCTAAAATGATAAATGAATGTTTGAAACAAATGCACCTATAAATCAAACAAGTTGATTGCCAGAACAGCACAAGTTGCATCAGATAATTTCATTCTAGGCTGCATGACCCTGTGGCATAATAATAAAATCTTCTTCATAAAATGTGCAGGAACATAACTTTGGTGCAAGCTACAGAAATTCCAGATTGTTCCTTAATTATTCAGTATGTCTTTAGTTTGCCCTGCCAGAAAAAGGCTACTTTTTCATTTGAATATTCTTGTTAGTTCAAGGGGTTTATAATATTCATGTCTTCTCTGCCTGCTTCTTGATCAGGAACCTGAAAGAAAACAGAAGAAAGCTGAAAATCTTATTTATATGTAGCAATTTATAATCAACAGTAATTGTCCAAACATGTAATTCTTTCACAGGTCTGTGAGAACTTTAAACCCAATCATTTTTGTCCCATGTCTGTAAAGGAAATTAACTTTCATTAACACAGGCCAAACAATCAGTTACTCACATACAACTGTAAGAAAAACAAAAACAGAAGATAGAGAAGATGGTTTTCTTTCTATCTCTCTCTGTTGCTGTTTTTTCCATTATCATTATCTTGGCATTAGCTTGCCTTGCCAATGTTGATGGGATGTAGTTTTCTCCTTGGTAGTTCCTTGATTAGGGTATCATTTTCTTCTTAATTGTCTGGTATTAATCTCTGCTCGAGATTTTTGTTTTGGTCTTTTCGTTTCTGTAGATTTTTATTGTCTTTATTGAATAATATGTAAATGTGGCTTATCACCGTGTGTCTGTTGATGGTTAATTTTCCTAAATGTCAAGCCATCAGGAATTCCCTAGCATTTTTGGATTTATCTTGGTCTAGGATGCTCACAGTTTTCCACTTGGAAAGCTGATCTTTTTTTGTTTTTCCTTGAAGATGTGTCTTGGATGAGAAGTGAAATGTTTTCAAGGAAAAGCAAAGAAAGTCCAGTTGCCTTTTTAAAAAAGCACCTTTGGGACAACCATGACCTGGATGACTGATAATCTCCATAGACAGCCTGAAATGTGTTCTGAAATCAAGGAGTTTTTAACCGTGTTTTCTGACTGCTAGTTGTGCTCAGCTAATCTTCTGCCTGTCTGTCCTGCATAGTAGCTATTACACTTTATTATATTCAAGGACAAAAGATAATAGCAAACAAAGAATGAAAGCCAAAACAGAATCTCTGAAAGAAACTTGCCTGAATGTGTTCTCTCTAACAGGAGTATGCAGAAAAATAGTCCAAACCCAGTCCAGAATTCCAAAAGCCAAGGAGGGTTGTCAGTCATTCAAGATGTTGAAACTTTGCAAGCAGAATCCACACACCAATATTATACAACAATTGGAGGCCAGAGGATTACTTTCAAAAGGAATCATAGATCAGGACTACCTCTTAAATCAGACTGCAGAAGACAGCTATCTCTGTTCGAGAGATTTATTCCCCTGCTTACAGTGTGCCTATTATTTCCTGTTGCAAGTAATTTGAATTACATTTGGACACACTTTTCCTCTGCCTTTTTTGAAAAAAAAAACTTGACTATAAGATTCTGCCTCTGCTAGTACTCTCAAGCAGAGCTCTTGAAATTGGCATTGTTTTAACAAGAACTTTTATAGAGAGACAGTGAAAGCAGAAAGGCAAAGCAAGATCTAAAGAATTCCCACGCAAAATGTTACATTAAAACTTCCCTTCGCAAACCCCTCCCCAGCGCCCAACTGTCCAGTTCGTTTCCAGCCAATCCACAGGTGTGAAGTTGTTATGGGAACCTGAGCAATAAGGGATGGTTCGCATGTGTAGCATCTTCTTCACAACGGAGTGGAGATAAGGCAGATGGCTTCTGGCACATTCCTTCCCCTTTTCACACTCAAAGAGATAATCAAAGATGGACAGAACAAAGTAAAGGAAATGCATCTGTGAGCCCCCTCCCAACAGAATGAAACCTCCCCCCACCCTTCAGAATGGCAGAGCCCCGAAAATATGAATTGGAGGGATCCTGACAATGACTGTGGGTTGCCTGTTTCTAAAGCAACATTTTCTAGGCTCTAAGTTTATAAAGCAAAGTCATTGCTTCCTATAGGCTTACTATGTAATAGATATGTCAGATGGGACATATACTGGCCCTGTTATAGGAAGAGCTATTGAAGATGTAGTTATTCTTAGTAAGAAGAAACTGGGAAGGTTCTAATTGGAGGCAAAGAACATTTGGGCTTGGGACTGAAGGGAGAAAAGAATGCACAGGGACAGTTCAATTTAAGGAAGAGATTTGTCCACCTTCTCCTGATGAAATGTTCATAAAAAGTGGTTACTGTGGAAGGACTGTGATTAGTTCTTGTTTGGTGACATGTATAGAGTTTATTCTATCCATTCAGTTTTGACAAAACTCCCTAATAGTGATTGGAAGGGAATGGCAATACGTCATGTATGACATGGAGTAATTCTGAATCTGACTGATCTGCTCATTTAATTCAAACTACTAAGCCACCATGTTATCTGCTCAAATTATCAATTTTTGTATCATAATAATATAATTTTGATTCAGAAAGAAAGCAGGAGATGCAGAGATTTTGTTTCATAATATTCTCAGAAGCCATAAGCAATTATATCAGGGTGGGAAATTAGAAGGCCCAGAAAGTTATTTGTTAAGGATAGCAATCATCTTACTACTACAGGGCTGGGAATCCTTAGGTAATTCCTGAGGTGTAGCAGCAGTGTGATGGAATATGAGAAAGATTTTGATACTAAGTCAAGAGATATGCCAAGGGAATGGTCAGATAAGAGACATCATAGCTTGCAAGTGGATAGTGAGCAGGGCAAGAGGCTCAGAAGAGACCCTTCCTAGTTTCCTGGCTGTAAAGGAGACTTGGGAGACAATTATACTTTCAGCTTTGCAAGATTGATATTGACCTCACAGGATAAACTGGATAGGAGTCACAATCAAACAAACTAATTCTACTTTACTGTAAAGCTATGTTAACAGAATCAGAACCTCTCATTCTAAAGAAAGCTTCTCTGCCATCTGCAGCCAATCTCCTTACCACATAAGTATATATGAGTTAAATGACCTACAGGAAAAAAACGATGGGAAAATCCTAACACAGCACAGAGAGGAGAAAATTATTGCTTTCTCTCTTGCTAAATGTTTAAGCAAATGGAAAAGCCTGACGTGCTCTATTATACTTTGGCCACTATTTGAACATTTTTCAATAATTAACTTGTGCTACATTTGGCCTAAGAATCCATTTTCCTCCATGATACTGATTATAGTCCTAGAGAAACTACTTAATTCTTTGAAAAACAGGTTATGCTCATAAAGTCACATCTGTATAAGTTGCTAAAGCAACATTAATGCAGAGAGGCTGAGGACTGGGTTTGTAGCTGTTGTGAGGAGCTGTTAGCAGGGAGCACACACTAAAAGAAGTAAACCAAGAATAAACTTCCTTTCACACATGTCTATTTGCCATAACTGTATTTTGAGAATTGCCCACAACAGTTGGTTGAAGTTGAAGAACTACTGCTACAATAGCAGCTTATTACAGGGAAGCTGCACTTTTTATTTGGCAATATAGAAATGCTTCTTTTGTCTTCTGGAAGCTCTTACTGAAACATTACAAGTGAAATGCTCTAATCTGAGGATGATGGAGTTGTGGCAAAGGACATCCTAGCCAGCAGTTTCCTTGCATATTTTCTGCAAGAAAAAGATTCAGCAGAATCTTTCCTAGAACAGTAATTTAAATTTTTATGAAACTTGAATTGTTCTCTTCTGAATGCTGACAGCCATTCAACAAAAGAATGGTACAACAGTGAACAAAATTCAAAGCTACTTGCACTCTTACTTAGTCAGTGTATGTCTTTGTGTTTGGTCTACCTGTCCAATCAGTTTGTATTTATGGAATTTAGCATAGGAAAAAGGGGGGGAGGGTAGTAAATTATGCTCAGATGTTCTCAAAGCTGTGTAGGAAACATGCATATTAGGGAAGGATTTGTTTCAAGTAATGCTTTGAACATTAAATATTGAGAATCTTTATCACAGTTTAGCCAAATATAAAGCTAGAAAATCAAATAGACATGCAATGAAAATGTCCAACTGCATTGTGTGTATTGCTTTAAATACTTGAATTAGAATCATCCCTCTGCAGTAATATTTCTCATGTTCTGTCAAAAAGGTTTGTCATGTACTTTAATCTGAAAATTCAGATTTTATATATCTAGCAGGTTATCAGAATATTAAGGAATTTTAATTTCTGATGATGAAAAAAAAGAACTCATCTCTTTTAAATATACTATTGAGGAGTAAAGTAGTGCTAGTAATAAAAGCTGTGCTATAGCAAAGAAAGAAGAATATCAGAGTAAGTTATATTGCATAGTTTCTCCTCATATAAGTTACTTATTGTAAGGTCTAAATAAATTTTTCAGGAATTAAAGTTATGGATCTTTTGCTTGATCTATTGAGTTTGCCCTTGTTCCCTAATTCCTCTTGATCAATCTTAAATTATCTTAATCTTATTGTTTACAAAAAAGATGTTCAAGAGCTGGCAGATAAGAATGGTTTGTTTCTTTTCCCAGAGAAATAAAGATATAATTATAGAATTAATTGATTGCTCAAGATGAACGCATTCAAAAATACTTATTAACTGTACTTACTCACACAGAGATAGTCTTACTTAAAGTCTTAAGTAGACCTTAAGAGGAAATAATGTCTTATCTTTTGCAGATCTCTGCTATGCCCCACTATTATTCCAGATTGTCAGTAAAAGTGTTGAAAGAGCAGGGATTAAACTCATCTCTAAATTTCAGGATTTATTGGTATGGTTCTTTTAAGTAGAGCAATGGTTCTCAACCTGTGAGATGCAGGCCTCTGGGGCACCACAATGTTGTCACAGAGGGTCTGTGAAGGCTTCAAGAAATGTTATGAGGTAAATCTTGAGGTAAATCTTGATGATCCATGGCCATGGCCCATGGCCACAAAAGGTATTTAAAGGGGTCTGTTGTGAAGAAAGGGTTGAGAATCATTGAAGTAGAGAATTTCTCCATATTTCCAATAGATAAAATGGCCTTGGGCTAACAGACTACACATACAGTACACAGTTCTACAGAGACAATCCCAACCAGAGTTTTTAAAGTTTCGCGTCCTTGTTTCACTCTCCCTGATCTCTCAGTATTTTCACTTCTGTGGTAAATAAGCAGAATCAAGCCATATATATATGAATAAAAGAATAAAACACGATCACCGGGAGGGTTAAAGTAAGAATACTTTACTAAAAATATACTATACTTATACTAAAAAGTTGCCAAGCTTTCGCTGGGGGAA